TAACATACGTCGCAGTGATGAGGGAGAAATATCGGATCTGCGAATGGTGAGATGGACGCAGGTGGACAGCATCACGCAACCGACCCATAACTATCGCTTGGTTGAGGAGACGCGCACGAATACAATCCAGCCTGAGCTCACATAGATCCCGTTTGAAATCCGCAGAGGACTCTTCCAGATGAGCTCGACCTGCGACGACGCCAATTATTGACCGGGAAAAAATCCAGAACTTCTCGAGGCTGACCTCGTCCTTGAAGTTGGTTATCAGCTCTAAGCTGCGGAACAGATCAGAATGCAGTCGAAAGTCGGCAAGCTTCGAGTACAAGACGTACACGGCAAGGGTCAAGCAGGCCGCTAGATAAGTAACGTGTATATCAGCGCTGCTCAGAGGATTTGCCATGACGCAAGCCCACACCAGCCAGGTAGTTGGTCGTCTGTGTATCGGCAATGAGCTGGAGGAGTTCTGCTTGCAGTTCTGCTTCAGATGCAGGTGTCATCGGGGGAAGACTGAAGTGCAGCGCCCAAGGGTACAACTCGCCGCTATTTGAACGGGCGGAACCTCCACGTTCCGATAAGTAACGGAATCTGATGTTTATAATAGCGCGGCAGTTCTGATGTTTCGATGGTGGCATTAAATTCGAATAGCCTTCAGCGAAAAGTCTGGCGGTGTTAGCCCCACTCGGACGAGGTTCGTCAAAAAAACCTCTCAAGCAGACTCGGAAAAGGGAGCTCGGTGGTTGGAAGTAGCGCCGGAGGAAGCAGCCTGGAGCAAGGGCAGTCAGCTAGCAGACTCGGTGGCAAGTTCGTCTCAGGGCTTCACTAATTTTCATGGTGCATAAGTTCAAGGCGCTTGTATTGCGTAGCGATCAGCGACAGATCACTTCTCCGCGCGCACCGTGGCAGGTGTCTGCCGACAAAGCACCAGGACCGATGCATGCGGGTTCCCTTTCCTGAGTGAGACTGGTCAAGTGTGTTCAATTCAATGGGATGGGATGAAACGAAATTCATATCTTACTTTTTGAAATCTGCTTGTCGAAATCCGCTCAGGTCGAAAGTCTCCGGCCTGCGGCCACGGCCAACGTCAAAGGGCCACAGTCACATCGGTTCCTTTATGGTCCGCAGCGTCCGAGTCAACGAACGAATATATTTTCCGATCCGATTGGCCAAGTCATCGAATCGGAGAGCGTCTGCGAAGGTGCTCGCCATCCGTCCGATGACCGGGTGGCTTTGGAGAGCGAGAACGAGAATGACGCTGCCGACGTCGAGGTAGATCGCTGGAATGAGCGTCGTCGCGCGGCCCCTTCCTCCGATTTCGAGGATCCATTTCTGACTCCAGGCCATGCTCGTTCTGCGTCTCCGCAGTTTCTGCGCCCATCCGTTCCTTCTCCTTCCGGCGCTTCCACATCAGCTTCCCCAGACACTTCTCGCACAAGACGGCCTTGACGAGGGCAGACTTCTCCTTCCCGTGCTCGATGTACGCAAAGGGCAGCTCCAGCGTTGTGAGCGGCGGTGGTCGCCCACCGGGGGTGTCGTGGTGCTCACACCGGGTGTTCCCGCACGTCGTCTCGCCTGCGCCAGCGAGAACTTCGGCCTCGGTCCTCCATCGCAGAGAAAACTGAGTACCAGAGAGATAAGTAAGAAACCTTGAGGACACTGAGCGGCGGACACGCACGTTGCCGGACTTGTAATGCTTCAAATCGCAGACGGCGTACTCGCGGAAGAGACTTTCGTAGTACTTGGACGCGAGCTGCTCGTCCCATGAAAGCTGCTGGCCCTTGTCGTCTTCCTCACGTAGAAATCTAAAACCTCGCGTTTAGTAGTCGAGTAATTGCCACCTCGACTCATTGTAACGAACTTATGCGACTCCTTCAGGATTTCAAACTCGGTCTTGCCAGGTGTAGGTAGCTTTGAGCTGCTTGGGTAGAGCGCCATCCTTTGCAGTTCGGTAGATGGTGAAGGGAGCAGGAGTCGGGATTAGCCGAACCATCATTGACTCCTTGCTCTTGACCGTCATGAGCCAGTACGTTGTCCTTTCATTCTCTGCTGAAGACGCTCACTACTGCAGGAATTTGAGCAGGATCCATTCAAAAGATTGAGCCGGGTTCAACTTTGAAAGTCCTTGTCGCGAATCTCTCCTCAGCAACGCTCTCAACGGTCCAGTCTAGTGCGCCAAAGAAAAATGGTCAACTCGGACGACGAAATAGCTCGTCTTCGAGTGCTCATTTCCTTTGCCCATGACACGGCACTGTCATCCTCCTGGTACCGCAACTGGTGTGCTGTCGTTTGAACTCGCCGATTCTGTGGCGCCATCTTGACGAAAACCTTTTGCCCTGGACCAAAAGTCGGCGGCGACTCGACGCAATCTTGTTTACCACTCCGTACATGTGCCTCTTTCCATTGCTGCAAGATGTCCTTTTTTGACACGGGGATCTTCCAGCTTCCTGGACTCATCAACTGTTACGAGCATCGTTGTAACCGTCGGGCTTGGACATTTTTTGTCTGGGAGAAAGTTGCAATCCGTCTCCACTGGAAGTCCTACCGCTTGCGTCATACTATACCATCTCGTTTCTGCTTCGATCCGCCTGCAACCACCATGGTTGTATCCGAAATCATCATCCTCGACTCGCAACATGCACCATATTCCGTTTCGATTAGCTTATACCCGACCAAGTACTTGTGACCAACGGGGCCACGAGCCTCGCCTGCCCTAGCCAACCCGACGAAGGCCGAGTAGGAAAGCGATTCGTTCCACCTCGCATAAGACCCGACGCGGAATCAAACCAGGGCTTCCTGCTTACAGTGAAGTAGCAGACGAACACTATACTAACGAGTGGGCACCTCCTCCTCGCACCTGTCCATCACGAAGTACACTGTTCAATGCCTACTCACGGTTTTTGCAGCTCAATAGTAGTTCATCTTTCTTCGCAGCACTCTATGTCGGAAAAACCAAAAAGCTCGTATAAGGCTTTATAAGATATCTTTATTCTGGTAAGGGGCCTATCAGAGGTTTTGCTCTTATAACCCTAGCGTTGGGACTCTAAAAGTCGCAAATTCAATGTCTACTGCAGTGAGGGTATCCTTATAAGGGTCTTATGATAAGCTATAAGAGCCGGTTCTCTAATGGGTCTTTACTTTTTTCCGACATATTCAGACTCTAATAAACGACATTTGTGGTAACACAAGTCTTCTGCAGCATAAACTGAGACGGCTCAACCGACCCAGGAGTGATTTTCCAGCAAGAGATAGGCGTATCTTGACCTGAATCGCTCGGGAGGTCGTGCACTTGCAGACCTCGAAGCATGCCTTGTAGAAGTCGTAGGGGTAGATGTTTCGAACCTCCAAGAGACTGGCCAAGTCTTGCCATTGGAACACGACTGACAGGAACGGCCTGAGAATTAATAAGAAGACCTGGACTCCGAGCTGGGGCACGTACCGTCGTTTATAGTCTCGGACATTTCGTTTCTCTCATATTCCACCGTGAATATCTGCGGCGAGGAGAAAGCCACGGAATCCCTGCTCCTGGTGGACCCTTCCTTTCGACTGGTGGGTTTCGAACCGTTTGTCCGGTGGTAGTAATGATCACAGCTCGACGGCGATATTTGACCTCGAGCTGCCTCCATCGCATGGGTGAAGTGTGGGTGGGATTTAATGTGGGCGAGCAGCTTGGCGGGACTGTCGTTCTCGGTCGTGTCGATTATATTCTCCCGCCAGATCTTGTCGGGAGCAGGGGAGGGCAGGTCTGGCACCGCAACCTCATGTGCTTCTTTCAGAACAAGCTGCTTCGTGACAAACACGGTTGCCTCAGCGAGTGAGTAGTTGTTGAGAAGTGCACTATGAAGAGTAGGTCTGTTGATTTAACAGGAAAGACTGCAGCAGTAAGAACGCACTGGATTAAGAAATTTCTGGCTTGGAATAAGGTCTCATCTTGCGCTTCACCCGCGAAGTAGATTCTGGAGGATTTACACGGGTGGGTGTGCATTGTGGGAGAGGAAGTCGGGGGCAGCCCATTCTTTGTTGAAGGGCTACTTATGCCGGAAGAAGAACAACAAGAACAATTGCACAAGGCAACGAGGCAACAAGATCAATCATTGTCTGACCACGACGGCGGTAAGAGCGTGAAGCTGTGCGTTTGGAGTGTACGTGTTTTGGACAAAGACAATGACTATTTCTGGACAAGGAAACAAGGCTGACATAAGGTTTCGAACCGTGGGAATCTCGGATCGGTTCAAGTTCAAATGCCACTTCGAGGTAGACCTTGATAACCGAGGCTACTCATATCGCCTTGCAAACCATCCGATGCTATATGAGTCTCAAGGACTTGTTTTAACCGAGAACAAGCGAGCCCCCGTTTAACCGAAATATTTCCCACGGTTCAATACTGCATTAAATTACTCCTTCCATCCCATCTCTTGAAGGTGGTCTTTGTATTTGGTCAGTCATGATCAAGATCAATAATTGCTCCAGGACTCTATTCAGTTCTTGTTCTCTTGGCTTGTTCTTCTGCCGCCACATATGTTGGGGGATTTCTGGCAAGAAGGAAGCCAAAGCAAGCAAGCCAGGGACAATTTTCAACTTGTAACACAACTACTTGGCTGACATTTTCTTGAATCGGAGGGTCATTTTGCCTCGAAAGAAAGGATCCTAGTGATACTTCAGGAGGGAATACAATAGAGGAGGTAACCACTTGATGGTACATGGTGTGCGCCTGCTTCAATTACCAGAGGAGACGCATGTAACGGCAGGAGGCCCCGGTTCGATTCCGGGTCGGGTGATGGGTTCGAGTCTACGAATTTTTCCTCCTGTTGTGTGATTATCTCATTCACTCTTCATTCACTAATTTCTTTCAGTCCTACTACTGGATTGTATGTAGCTGTTAATAGTTGTGAAGCTGAGGGAGGACACTGTTTGAAATGATGTTGAAGTTTTTCAATCCTTGTCTGCTGCTCGGCGGAAGGAGGATTTAATGCAGGTACTAGTGAAGGAAGGGAATGGAGTGGTACCACTTGATGATACATGGAGTGCGCCTGCTTCAGTTCATTTTCAGCAAGCATGAGGTCCCGGTTCGATTCCGGGTCGGGTGATTGGGAAAAGATGGCAACAGTTTTTTTCCCTCTTGTTGTGTGGTACTCTCCTTCGTTCTTCGCACATGGGTTCTGTTTACGAGATCCAAGACCAGGATTAATATTGTTGTCATCAGGAAGCGAGAAAGATTACAGAGGAGAATTTCAACGCAAGCTTGAGTAGTTGACATTTTCTCTCTTGCGAGTACTTCAAAGGAGAGTCGTACTTGGCTACTTGAAGGAAGAAAGAAAGCAACCACTCGATGGCACATGGTGTGCGCCTGCTTCAATTAGTCACCCAGTTGCAACTTGTAAGCAGGAGGTCCTGGTTCAATTCCGGGTCGGGTGATATGTCAATGCTTGGCCGTCATCCCAATTTTTTCCCCTTGTTGTGTGATACTCTCATTCAAGTCATTCTTCTTCCACTGATCTTTTTCGGTCCCGGGACGACCACTGGATTGAATGCAGCTGTTGATAGGAATGAAGATTTAGAGGGAGAGGGACACAATGATGTTGAAGTTTGTTTTCTCGCCTGCTCATAATGCTCGGCAAGGAGGATTCAATGCAGGTACTGGTGAAGGAAGGGAATGAAGTGGTACCACTCGATTGCACATGGTGTGCACCTGCTTCAATTACAAAGGTACTCATATGGTAAGCAGGAGGCCCCGGTTCGATTCCGGGTCGGGTGATACCGTGATAGGGCGTGAAGCGATATTTTTCCCTCTACTCGTACTCATTCTTCACACCGAATTTCGTGTATGAGCCCCGGGCCTGCATTCTGTTGAATTGTTAACAGTAATGAAGACGATTCAGGGGGAGGCGGGACACAATTTAAAACGATGTTGAAGTTTTATCGTCTGCTCATAATGCTCGGAAGGAGGAACACAAGTACTAGTGAAGGGAGGGAATCAAGGGCTACCCACTCGATGGCACATGGTGTGCACCTGCTGGGGGTACATTGTCCTTCAACAGGTTAGCAGGAGGCCCTGGTTCGATTCCGGGTCGGGTGTTGCCTCGCTGAAGAAGACTTTTTTTTTGTCTTGTTTCGTTTGGTTCGACGCGCGTTTGACTTGGAAATGCATTGGTTAGCACTTCGTTGGTCGTAAATTAGTCGGCAGTAAAGTAGTTTATTCAACCAACGTTATTGGGAACAAGTCAAGCTAATCGGGACGCGCTCGCGGCTCCAGTTCAAGGTTGAATGAGTGCATTCATAGTGTACAGCAGTAGTAGACTATTAGCAGCGGTTGACCGTGGAGGGAATGGCCATTCAGAGTATGGCGTGCATAGGAATCGGGAGTTGACGGGTGTTGTAGACAGAGATAGTGCCGAATTGAAGTAGTCCTGGCTAGCGGCCGTCGAACCAATCGCCTGTGTGGGAGACGTCGTCCTGCAGAGAGACTCAGAGAGTGGTTTGGCATGGAAACAAAGGTGGTGGTGTTAATATGCATAGCAAGACATTGAGTGACAGACATAGCAAGACATTGAGTGAAGGGAATTGCAGTTAAAGGAATTGCAGGCGACTCTCCGCGGTATGGACTGTACAGATGTAGCCTGGAAACCAGTTTATCTTGAGTTCGGAAGCCAATAAATAGGGCATTACAAGGGATCCCCCGAACGGCCGCCCGTTTGCAGTAAATGAGGAGATTAGTGCGCGGTAAGGATGGTGGCGCGAGTGCCATTTTGAGACCCTCGGAAGCGGGCAAGGGGACGAACAAGGCGCTAGTGCGTGTATGTATCGCCGGTGAGACCGTAGTGCGGTGGTCGTGGTCGCCGTCCAGTGGTGGTGGTGGTGGTGGAAGGACAGAGACGAGGCCGGTAAAGTGTTTATTGACCGGGCAATGTTGCCTATTCTCGACCTTCATGCGGATGCCTACCGTGAACTATACTCCCTCAAGACACAGACACGCCGGCCGCAATAAAATAGCGAGGAAGGAATGCAATAGGCAAGGCTAAAGCGAGGACGGGAATGCCTAATACACATGTGGAACCGACCCAATACACGAACAGGAACCGCCTCTAAACGAATCCGCCTTTTTGAACCACCTAATCCCGCGCGAGACACCCTTTCTTCATCCCGCCACCACCAATGTCTGCGAATACACGCCAACACCGCAAACCCGCACCCAAGCTCAACGACGACGACGCCGACGCCCTCAGCGTCCTCACCATCGCCGCCGACCCGACGCCGGCGAGGCACTCGTTCGCGCTCTACCCAGACCCGCTGCCGCCGACCCCAGCCTCGCCCACGCCGTCGTCGACAGGACACAGCCATGGCCATAGTCCCCACTACACCCGCCGCCGCGCCCAGTCGTCCTCTGCCCACTCCGAGGCGGCGGCCAACTCGCCCGCGTCCCCGCCACCCGCGATCCCAAAGTCCATGTCGACCTCGATGGCAGCGTCCCCCGCGCCCCGCACCCGCCTCGCGCGCCTTCTCCTCCCCCACGCCCACGCCGCCAAAGTTACTTCTACTAGTTCCAATTCTACTAGTTCTACCTCTACCTCTGGTTCCAGCAAACCCGACGCGCCCGGCATCCGCAAACACACCATCTCGATCCCCACGCCGGCCACCCTCCCCGCGGGCATGCTGCCCCCCGAGCTCGCCGCGTTCGTGCGCGCGCAGAAGCCCGTCGCGTTGCGGGACCTTGACCTCCCTCCTCCCTCGCTGGATTGTGGCGCGTCCGTCACGCCGCCGCTGCTCTCCCCAACCTCTACGTCGTCGGGCACGAGCAGCACGAGCGGCACGAGCTCCTCGCGCGCCTCGGGCGAGACGGCGTTCACGTCCCCGCCGCGCTCGCCGCTCTCACCGTGGGCGCCGACCTCGTCTTGTACTTCGCCTACGTTGCCCACGTTCGCCGCGAGTGCGAGTCCGAGTACGACCTCGCCGGCGCCCGTGCTGAGCATCGTCTCGCCGAGCGTGTTGCCGGCGTCAGCGTCCGTTACGTTTGCTCCTCAAATGCCCGCCACGCCCAATAACGCGTCCTCGCCAACCTCCCCTCCCACCTCGGCCCCTTCACTCCTCACCACCAGACGCAGACCATGCCCTACCCTTAACACTAGCGGCAGCCCAACGCTCCCCAAATCCCGCACCGTGAACCGCAAACCACCCCCCCTGCCCCCGCTCCTCCCCGTAAGCGCTAGCGCCCTCGCGCACGCGGCGCGCCTCCCGCTCGTGGCGCCGAGTGGGGTGCGGGTGGGGTTTGGGGAGGTGTTGGGGATGCCCTCTTTGCCTCCTACTCTCCTTTCATCCTCATCGATACCAGCGCCTGTTGAGGGCGAGGTGGAGACGGAGGAGAAGGAGGCCGGGGAAGGGGTAGGGGTACGGCCAGCGAGCACGAGTCGGTTCGTCGAGTTGCTCACGCCGCTCGCGCCTGTAGAGAACACGAAGAAGACGCGTAGAACGCTAGTCGTGTTCCTGAGACACTTTTGGTGTCCGCTTTGTCAGGATTATGTGGTTGGGTTGGCGAGGGCTGCGTCTGCGTCTAAGGATGGAGAGGACGCGTGTAGGGCTTGTAGTAGTAGGGAGGAGAAGGCGGATTTGGAGGGTTTCCTCGCTGAGCCTGAGGAGGCGGTGAGTGTTTAATTCATTTGTGCGTGCGCTCGAACGAGGAAGACTGATTAGTTTTGTGTCTGTGTTCAGGAGGATGGAGGACGCGAAGGACGAAGTGTGCGTATTTTCATGTGTAGTTTAGTTCTGTGCTACTGGACTGATGTTTTTATTTTTGTAGGCTACCGCTACAAGTACTACTTCCTCACCGCCTGCCGCCGACGCCGACGCCGCTCCCAACCCTGAAGTAGGAGACGTGGAAGGAGGAGAGGAAGGGGAAGGCACACACCTCGTGCTCATCGCGCCCGGGGCGCATACGCTCGCGGAGCGGTATCTTGCTTCGTTTGGGTTTCCTGAGCTCAACGACTCCACCAACTCTACTTCAACTACCTCTACCAACTCTACCTCTTACTCTCCTTCTACCTCGCCCGAGTCCGCTCCGCCTACCGAGGGTGTGCAGCACGATAATACGGTACCGCACGCGCACCCTCGGAAGCGTAGACGAAGAGGGATCGCCTCCATCCGCCTCTTCGTCGACGCGCGCCCGCAGGAGGGGGTGTATGCTGCGCTTGGGATGGGGTGGGCGCGTGGTGGGGGTGCGTCACCGGCTGCGAGTCCTACGAGTCCTACGAGTCCTACGGCGCCGAGTTTCTTCGGCGCGAGTGAAGGAGGAAGAGGAAGTGAAGGACTAGGAGGCGGGATGGAGGCGCTGGGCATGGAGAGCGTGGGTTTCGTGCCGGGGGTGCCGTTGCCCATCCCCATGCGCTCTAAGGTGAAGACGAAGACGAAGGTGGGGAGGAGCATGAGCTTGCCCCCGGTGGTTTTCGCTAGCGCTGCAGCGACTGCGGCTGGGGGCAAGAACGCGGAGGGGATGGAGAAGAAGGGCGAGAAGGGCGTGGGGGAGAGGGGGGAGTGGAGTGCGGGGAGGGGGTTTGCGAGGGGTGCAAGAGGTGGGATTCCGATGTCTGAGGATTCGACGAACACCGCCGAAACCTCTCTCACCTCCCCCTCGACAATCTCCACTGCGGCCGACACCGCAACTTCCGCGGCCGACACCGCGCCAGCAACAGACCCAGACGCCGCCCCCACCTCATACATCACGCACTCTGCGCTCGGCGGCGTGGGCGCGGTCCTGCTGCGCGCGCTGCGTGCGGGGATGCCGGTTTGGGAGAGGGGCGGGGATGTTAGGCTGCTTGGGGGGGAGTTTGTTTTTGAGGTTGGCCCGTGAGTGGGGTTTTGCTGTTTTTCGTCTGCACTTCGGAGTCTTTCTCTTTTGTTTTGGGAGAGAGAGGGATTTCGCTACCCCGCTTTGTGGGGACGAGCGGGGAAGAGGCGCGGGGTCGTGGATTTGCTTTTGCTTTTGGGTTTTGGGTTTTGCCGCGTTTTCCTTGCTTTGCGTTTTGATTTTTACCCGCACCCAATGCTAACCTTGCCCTCGTCTTCTTTCCAGGCCCGATCCCAGCACTTCCACCACCAACTCCACCCCCACTCTGCGGTGCACCTACGCGCACCGCATGCAGACCACGCGCGGACACGCTTCCGTTGCGCGTGTGTTTGCCGCTGCTGGGATATACGTTCCTCCCAATGACGACTCTAACCCACGTCTTGGGCGCTCCAAGTCGAGCGGGACGCTTTCGCGCGCCACTGCTGGGCATGGGAAGGAGAAAGAGAAGGGTGATGCCGCTGGGCTCCCGAGGACGACGTCGGCGTTCCACCTCGGCGTCTCCTCCACTTCTATGGCCAGCGACACGCGCCCGGCGGTGCCGCGATCTGCGTCGACGCCGCCCACTGCGCCGGGGATGTTCTCGCGTAATGTCTTTGCGCGGTTTGCGGGGCCGAAGGGGGGACGCGCGATGCAGCCCACCAACGCGACACCCAAGCCCACGACGCGCGAACGGGCGCAGATGCCGCGCTCGGCGTCGACGCCGCCTGCACCGGCTGGAAGGCGGATCGGCGCGCTGTGGGAGCAGCACCATGGGTGGGCGCACGTAGGGGTTATTTGGGAGGGGCTTGAGGGGGATAGGCAGGATAAGGAGGAGGAGGGGCGGGCTGCGAGGGAGGGGCGGGAACCGGCGATGAAGGCGACGCTGTCGGCGTCTTCGTCTCGGCCGTGGGCGCTCGTTGGTGCGGGGTCGAGTGGGTCGATTGTGGACGATGTTTCGGACCGCGAGCTGGAACCGGCAGCGGAGCAGGGCTCGGGGTCGTCGTCGTCGGTGTCCATCTCGTTTGTGTCGCCTGTGCGGCGGACGGGCTCGGAGACGACTACGCCGTCGTCGGCGTCTGAGCCTGTGTCCGAGTCGGATTTGGGGTCGGTGTCGGTGTCGAGGTATCAGCATCCGCATCCGTATGCGTTTGACATCGGCGTCGGGGCGGGGAAGCATATTTATGACGGGGCGGAGGTGTGGACGGACGCGGATGTGGATGGGGATGGGGACGATGAGCGGAGCGATGGGGAGGACTCCATTC